CCCCCTCCATGCTTTTGCGTTGCAGTCATTAAGTCGAACGGGCCCATGACGGTCAGCCAATCAGCAAGCGGGACGCCATTGTCGCTTCTCTGATTATATAGGACTCTAGCTCGGTCTAGATATACTTAGAGTCCTATATAATCAGAAAAACGACATCGTTACCCCCTCCATGCTTCCCATGATCGCCATGTTGGTCCCGCAACTGCCCATTTGCAATCTAAAATGTCTTAAAATGTCTCAGAGATATTTAAAATATTTTTTTTTAGAAAATAACATTACTTGGCGTCGGGACGCTACCGCGTCGCTTGACAAATATACTTTTTTCTCACTTACGGTACGCCGGTTGCGGTTAGTTTGCACGTAGGATTCACTACGGGATCAACATAGGACGTGTTCCACTTAACGACCGCAACGCTCGCGAGCATCATCTGTCTTTGTTTAACTTTCGGTGAACAACAAAGATTAAATGATACCGTTAGCGTTGCGGTCATTAAGTGGAACGGGCCCATGGCGGTCAGCCAATCAGCAAGCGGAACGCCATTGTCGCTTCTCTGATTATATAGGACTCTAGATATACTATGTCTATGGTCTAGATATATTATGTCTATGGCCGGTATTCATAGGGTGCGTTCCGTTTCTCGCATGATGCGCATAGGAGCGCACGAGATCGTTCCGTTTCAATCCATGCGCAGTTCATGCGCTCATGGGAACGGTCTCCCACCACAACGCCGCGCCATGTTGTGCAGCGCATGAGAGCGCATGAGCTGCCTCAGCTCCCGAGGTGGTGTAGTCCATGTGTGGTCCACGCGCGAGAGTTATTTAGGCGGGAAGGAGACTATCTGCAAAGTAGTACAAATTATAGGATTCCGAAATTCATAAAAAATGACTTTGAAGAAGCTACAAATTTATGTTGATGATAAATTGTGGATGTTCGACGTGTCCGATACTGAATAAAACGCCAAATCTAAATATATGTACACGTAGGCGGGCACAACGGCGCGGCCCCTACAAAGCCAGCAAAGAATTTGGTTAATGCGTTCATCGATAAATAATCATGTATCACTTTCTATCTACGAGACCGACCCATTTCGAGATTTCGTTTAAAACTCCATTGCTTTCCATAAATATTAAAAATTGTATTAAATAGACATTTATACCCAGACAGCACGAAAAGGCCAAAAGACATCTTGAAAATATTTAAAGAACAATAAGACATCTTTATATCGTTTTTTAGACGTCTTTTAAAAATATGTGAGGTCTAAAAATACTTCAAAGTAGAAAATTGTCTCTAAATATTATACAGCGCCTACCAAAAGTTCCGGGCCACCTAAATAATTTTTGAATGGTTTGAAATATAGGATTGAAATTTATAGGGATACAATGGGATCACAAAGTCTATAATTTAACCACAAAAACACCCACCTCTACACCCGCGGAAAGGGGGGAGGGGGGAGCCAAAAAATCTTAAATGGCATGTGGAGTTGAGCGAGGGCTCGTTCGAAAGGGCTTTCCGAAACGAAAACAAAGCGAGGTCGCCGAGGTCTCTACGATTTTTTTTCGCGGAGTTAAAATCATTTGAACATTTCTATTGAGATTTTGCGATAGCGAGGGCCCACAGCGACAACAGAAGAAAGATAAGGTTTCACGCGGGCACGCGCGTTCCTGTGTGTGTGTGTGTGTGTGCGCGCGCGCGCTTGCGCGTGTGTGTGCGCGCGCGTGCGTGCGTGCGTGTCCGGCGAACCAAGACAAGACCACTAGCGTGTCCTGCCAACTAAGGCAAGACCGGGATAGGAACACTGGTGTATGTGAAGGAATAAAAACACTAATTATTTTATCAAATGTTCAAATTGATGTCCTTCGACAACTTGGCAGTGTCTTAAGCAAATGTAAAACGTATCGATCGCTTGTGAATTTTCGAGAGCGTTTGTCTAATATCTTTTTTACTTTAGTATTTCTCATTTTAGTACATTTTGAATATAAGATGTTCTGCTAACTGTATACGATAATCCCCATACATCGGTCTCGAGAGCAGCTCAAGAAAATGATATTCACAACATCAGTCCATCGAATTTTGAAAAAGCATCACTATCATCCTTACAAAATACATCTAGTCCAGGAGCTATCCGAAGACGATTATGACAGAAGAGTGGAAATTTGCGACACAATGATGACACGACTTGCTGATAATCAGTTTTTCAACTGGATCTGTTTTTCTGACGAAACAACATTTAAATTAAACGGTTCTGTAAATCGACAAAATATGATGTATTGGGCAGATGAAAATCCGCGTTGGATGAGAGACAGTCACACGCAGTATCCTCAGAAGGTTAACGTTTAGGCCGGAATAATGTTTAATCGTATTATAGGACTGTTTTTTATTGAAGGAAACATAAATTCTCAAAATTATTGCAATTTGTTACATTCGCTTAGGACACTGCCAAGTTGTCGAAGGACATAAATTTGAACACTTGATAAAATAATTAGTGTTTTTATTCCTTCACATACACCAGTGTTCCCATCCCGGTCTTGCCTTAGTTGGCAGGACATGCTAGCGGTCTTGCCTTGGTTCGCCGGACACGCATGCACGCACGCGCGCGCACATACGCACGCACACACACGCACGCACACACACGCGCGAACGCGCGCACACGCACACACACACACAGCAACGCGCGTGCCAGCGTGAAGCCTTATCTTTCTTTTGTTGTCGCCGTGGGCCCTCGCTATTGCAAAATCTCAATAGAAATGTTCAAATGATCATAACTCCGCGAAAAAAAATTGTAGAGACCTCGGCGACCTTGCGTTGTTTTCGTCTCGGAAAGCCCTTTCGAACGAGCCCTCACTCAACTCCACATGCCATTTAAGATTTTTTGGCTCCTCCCTTCTCCCGTCCCCCGCGGGTGTAGTGATGGGTGTTTTTGTGATTAAATAATAGACTTTGTGATCCCATTGTATCCCTATAAATTTCAATCCTATATTTCAAACCATTCAAAAATTATTTAGGTGGCCCGGAACTTTTAGTAGGCACTGTATACAATGCTTGTAAAATGCTTGCAGAAATATCATACATTTCATCTGCCATGTCTGTTTACAAACAGCCCAAGCGCGCATGGGATATCCAATGAGAGCTTTATTTTTTCGGAAAACCAGAGCTCTCATTGGATATCGCCCATCGCTCATCGCTCATCGCGTCCAGTGTGCGAAGGCCATCAGTCTTCTCCAAAATGCATGCACATGTGGCCACCATGAAGGAAGAGCATAGAGATAGTATATCTAGACCGAGCGTTTGCCTTTATTTAAGGAGTGGGGGTAAAGATGCACATAAAAAAGGACATACTCTGTTTCGTGCCCCTTGCATTCTCTCTCGCTCGCACGTAGCATAGCGTACTCTTTCGCTATGCTACATGCGAGTGAGAGAGAACGCAAGGAGCACGGAACAGAGTATGTCCTTTTCTACGTGCGCCTTGGCCCCCACTCCTCAACACTTGGTCTAGATATACTATGTCTATGAGGAAGAATAAAGAGAGTTATCTCGATAGTGTAGAAAGGAAAAAAAGTTGGTCACAAAAAATGTTCCTTACGTGGCCAGGTTTGCCAAATGGAATAATTTGGACCATTTTGTCGCCATCTTGAATATTCGTATATGTATAGTGTTACGTTTAGTTGTGGTAGTAATTAGTAAGTAGTGTGTCATCCAACACACTTACTGATCACTAATACAACTAAACATAACACTATATATGTACGAATATTCAAGATGGCGACGAATTGGTCCAAGTCATTCCATTTGGCAAACCTGGCCACATACGGAACATTTTTCGTGACCACTTTCAATCTAGGTAGATAACTCTCCTTATTCTTCCTTCATGTAACATACTGACTGCTTGACAAAGAGAGATGATTACGCCGTCTTTGTTTCTCTTTCGTTGCGTATGTGTGCAGCGTCCGTGAAGGCACAAACACCGATATGTTGAGCACATGGATACAACTGCAGATCGGTTGACAAAGAGAGATTATCATTCTGTCTTTGTCTCTCTTTCATCGCGTATGTGTGTAGCGTCCGTGAAGGCACACTGATATGTGAGCACACGGATGCGATTGTGGGAGATAATGTGTCAGCCAAGGAGCGACAATCGCGTGCTATCCTTGTTCCTCTAGTGTATCGCTTTACGGCCGAAATACGGCCTGAACCTGAAAATGCTTTCTGGCCTCTCGTGGTAGAAAGCAGTAATGTAATATGACTAATGAGCGTCCATTCTTTGAGAACTTTATATTTGCGTATACAGGGTGGCCCCGAACGTTCCAGCCAGACTTTAAGATCTCATAGGAAAGAACACCGCACTAATCATATGGAACGTAGAAAAGGACATACTCTGTTTCGTGCCCCTTGCGTTCTCTCTCGCTCGCACGTAGCATAGCGTACTCTTTCGCTATGCTACATGCGAGTGAGAGAGAACGCAAGGAGCACGGAACAGAGTATGTCCTTTTCTACGTGCGCCTTGGCCCCCACTCCTCAACACTTGGTCTAGATATACTATGTCTATGAGGAAGAATAAAGAGAGTTATCTCGATAGTGTAGAAAGGAAAAAAGTTGGTCACGAAAAATGTTCCGTATGTGGCCAGGTTTGCCAAATGGAATAATTTGGACCATTTTGTCGCCATCTTGAATATTCGTATATGTATAGTGTTACGTTTAGTTGTGGTAGTAATTAGTAAGTAGTGTGTCATCCAACACACTTACTGATCACTAATACAACTAAACATAACACTATAGATGTACGAATATTCAAGATGGCGACGAATTGATCCAAGTCATTCCATTTGGCAAACCTGGCCACATACGGAACATTTTTCGTGACCATTTCCAACCTAGGTAGATAACTCTCCTTAGGCCGACGTCCCATTGAGCGGAAATCCATAACGGAACGGAATGCGCGGAACCAGCGTGACCAATCACAGCCATTCCGTTCTTTTCACGTCGTTCCGCTTTATTTTACCGCTATAATTCACGGAATTCGCTGTAATTTGCGGATAACCTCAATATTGGCTTTCTACTTTCCATACATTTTATTGTATTTATAATTTTATTTATTAATAATGAATAGAAAATCCGTAAGTAATAAAATAAAAAGATTAATAATTTGATAATTATAATAGATATTAATGAAAGCATTAATCTAGAATGTATATAAATATGTTTATAGAAAATAAAATGCGGTTTTTGCGGCTGGATAATAAATGTTGGTTCCTGTGCCAATATTGAAAAGCACAAATGTTTTGAAAAGTATAGAGAGGAGCTCCACTTGTTACATATTGATGAAAACCATGTAGCAACAATGAGTATGTGAATCATTTTTTACTATAATTACAATTCATTTTATTAATCATAATTTTAATAAGAATTTTTTACGTTGTAGTTCCACGATATGGTCACAATAAAAATTCAGAAATAAATACATCAGCCGTAATCCGTGTCGAAAATAACGTTGAAACAAAGTCTGATGATGGTACTGATGAAACTCTTATTGAGCTAGTATTTGAAAGACCTGCTCTTTGGAACTACAAGTTACCATTACAAGACAGGACAAATTTGAAAAAAGATGCACTTTGGTTGGAGGTCTCAAATAGGATGGGAGGAGGTGATTTAATATAATATATTTTACATATCTTATTTCATATACAGGGTGAGTTTTTTAACTTGAAACTGTAAAATATCTCGGAAAATAAGCTTTATCGAAAAAAATGTTTCAAACAAAAGTTGTAGGGTTCGGTATAAAGAAAATAATTGTTTTTAAGAAAAAGTATGTAATTATTTATTTTTATACTAATTGATTTGTCTCATTATTCTGTACATAAAAGTATTACGGTAAGATTATCGAAAACTAAATATTTTACGAGATATTTTATCTTTTCATGGCATATCAAAATATGTCAGATTAAGATATAAAATAACTCAAAAAGTACTTAATGAAAAAATACTTGATTATAGTGTTTTGAAAAGCTCTCGAGATAAGCTACAAGAATATGTAATAAAAAAGGGGGGTTCCATTTAAGAAAACGTCGATCACATTGATCTCACCTTGAAAAGGTTACTCAAGGTCAAATCCATATTTTTATCATGTGGCCCCCTCCGAACCCTACAAATTTTGTTTGAAACATTTTTTCGATAAAACTTACTTTCCGAGATATTTTACAGTTTCAAGTTAAAAAACTCACCCTGTATATATATAGATTCATATAAATAGTAAGAAATGTGATAAATAGTTTGTAATAGTAATACAATGAAAGTTTTGCAATCAAAGGTAATGCTACTATAATTCTTTATCCATATATTCCATTTCACGAACAAGATTGTCGCTTGCTCCCTGCATTAATCTTCTTTCTTCTGAAAAAATTGGTCGTACCCAATACCGACGTTTATTATTTCTATTTCTCTTTCTATCACGTCTTTTAATTATTATATATAATAAATTTAATTAAAGCATTCATTTCCGAATGATTTGCTTTTGAAATGCAGAATAAGATCTATTAAATAAGATCCACAATCGATAAATCCTGTGTAGAATATCCTGTGCTTCCATAATTAAATATCACAGATTTATTTTTCTGTCGACAAATACAAGGTTATTTTTTTTTATTATTGTATGTTATTGTTTATCAGTATCATAGCGATTCCGCTGATGCATTTCTCCTTATGTCTCATGAAGCGGTAAACGCGGTAGCGGAATCAAGTTTCAGACAATCGTGAAATAGATTTACATTTACGTCAAAAATATATATTATAAAAATCAAATTCTATTGTTCACTAATTTATTATTGTATGTGTATTAAAAGACTATTCCATTTGTAAGGATTGGTCCGAGCAACTGAATAAGAAATAAGAAGCACGTAATTAAATCAAAAGAACAAAACTTTAATATAATACGACGTGGTATTACAACACACAAAAGAGGAGAGGAGTTCGCTCCCGCGCACAATTTAGTGTTTAGACCTGGAGTAATTATAACATTTCTTATCATTACATAGTCGCCTATTTTATATTGATATGGTTTTTTATGTCTTTTATCATATATGTATTTATTGTATTCTTGTAATTCACGATTCTAAGTAATGGCAATGTTTCTGAGTTGAGTTATATCATTAATTAAGTTATTGCATTCTTGTAAATAAGTTCTTAAATTATCATCAATGAATCCATGTTGTTTATATCTGAACAAAAGTAAACTTGGAGAGATATCAATAGATTTATGATACGTATTATTTAACGAGAATTGAGTTTAGTTAAAACGTTGACCCATGGGTCTTCTACTGATAATTTAGCTAATACAGATCTTAAGAAACGGTTAACACGTTCAACTTGTCCATTGCTTCTTGGTGTAGCTGTGGCTGTTTTAACATGTTTAATATCAAATTCAATCATTAAAGTCGGGAATGCTTTTGAGGTGAAAGAGGTGCCTCTATCTGACACAATTCGTTTGCAAGTTCCAAAATGATGAAAATATTGTTTTAAAACAATAATTGTTTCTTTAGTCGCAGTGGATTTTACCGGGTATAAAACAACAAATTTGGTGAATGCGTCAATGACAATAAAAATATGAGTATAACCATCTTTTTCCTTTTTAAGTGGTCCATAATGATCGATGTGTAAGGTATCGAAAGGTTTAGTACCTTTATCATAAATATATAATTCTCCTTCTGTTTTACCTGATGGTGCTGAATAAGATAAGCATTTTAGACAATTGTCGATATATTCTTTTACTTGTGTGTGCATAAGGGAAACCAATAAGTTTTCATAATTAAATTTATCGTCTTTTCTACTCCTACTTGTCCTACATCATCGTGACTAGCTTGAATTACACTACGAACCATCGTTTCGGGTACATAAAATAATAGTTCCTGATTATATTTTTTATAAACAATACCGTTTCGTAATTCGTATTGATTACTTTCTTGCTTTTCTAGATCGTTATGTATTTTTATTATCGCGGGATCACGTATTTGTTTATAGACTAAAATTTCTTCAAAAGAGAGAGGTTCAATGACTAATATATTGCGGCTTAAAACGTTTACATGCATACAATCAGCGGTTTGATGTTCAATATGATAGTTATAATTTTGTAAAATTAAACACCATCTGCTAATTCGTGGATTAATATCTTTTTTATCGAAAGCAAGTTTCACTGCATTACAGTCAGTTACGATAGTAAATTTATTCCTTGTAAATATACTTTAAAGCGTTCAATAGCATAAATGATGGCTATAGTTTCTAACTCGTAACTGTGGTATCTACTCTCGACTTCTGTGGTACGTTTACTAAAATACATAATAGGGTGCATTTTATTATTTGACTGTTTTTGTAATAATATAGCATCATATCCATATGAACTTGCATCTGTATGCAACTCAGTAATTGCCGATGGATTATAAAACGCTAGTACTGGTTTGTCTATTAGCTTATCACGTAAAGATTCGAATGCTTGCAATTCCTTTTCACCGAATACAAAAAGTTTGTCCTTTTTTACTAATTCATATAGTAGTCTAGCAATTAAGGCAAAGCCCGGTACGAATTTTCTAAAGTAGCTTGTTAAACCTAAATAACTTTGTACTTGTCTAACTATTTTAGGCTGCGGAAAATTGTGTATAGCTTCTATATTAGCTTTATTAGAAGTGATGCCTTTCGATGAAATAATGTAGCCTAGATATTCTATTTCTTCTTTTAAAAAAAAGCATTTACAAAATTTAAGCTCTAATTTATGTTTTGCTAATAACTGCAATATTTCTGTAAGAATTTTCAAATTATCTGCGATTGTCTTAGTAGCTATTAGAATATCATCCAGATAAAGTAGAATTTTTTCTTCCTCTAATAATGGTTGAAATATAGTGTTTATATATCGTTGAAAAGCTGCTGGGGCATTAGCTAGTCCAAATGGCATCTTTAAATATTCATATTGTCCTTCTGGAGTAACAAAAGAAGTGAACTTAATTGAGTTTTCATCAACTGTTATTTGATGAAACCCATCTCGTAGATCTAAGCTAGTGAAATAACAACTATTTGCTAATCGATCAATTTGGTCATCTATTAAAGGCAAAGGATATTTATCTTTGATAGTTATTTTATTTAAAGATCTGTAGTCGGCGCATAATCTATAAGTGCCGTTTTTCTTTTTAATTAAAACTATAGGACTACTAAAATTTGAAATACTGAGTCTAATGATTTTTCTTTCTAACAAATCGTTAATAATTCGTCGAACTCTCTCAGACCACGATAAACGCCTAGATGTATAATAAAATGGTTTACTACCTTCTATTAATTGGATATTTTTATAATCAATATTGTGGCTTTCATTTTCAGCATTAATATAATTATTTAATAACGTGAGTAAATTATTTTTAATTTCGAAAGGAATTGATGCATCCAAACCATTACGTACCGTGTCCAAGCCGTCGTTGCTTTCCATAGGTTCTATATGTAGAATGCTATCCATAACTATTTCATCATATTTTAGTTCGAGTGTTTTACCTAATATAACAGTCATTCCAGGTTGATTTATAAATTCATAGCCCAATAACACGTCGTATGTCATTGTACTATTAGGTACTATGGCGAATCTAGTAATAAATGTATGATTAGACAATAGTTTCAATTGTATGTTAGGAATATAACCATAGATAACTAAAGGAGATTTATTAACTCCGCCATAACTGACATTACCTGTTTCTTTTGAAAGATTATATTTATTGAAGAATTTAAGATACGTATTTTCAGTCATAAGATTAATTGCGCTACCTGAATCCATGAGGGCTTCGACATAATACTGATTTTCGTTCGCTTCCGCTAATGAAACACAATAGTCCCGAGTTGTTTTGTCCAATGGTGTTTTAGGATCCGTGAACGTATGCTGTTTGTTACTGGTATTTTTGGTTCGTATTTCGGATACCAATTTTTTCTTCGGTAATTCTATCAAGGCTGTTGTTTCGTTAATTGATTTTGGCCGACTAGTTGTAGCCTTCGGGATAGCAGATTGCTTGTGCGGACAGTCTTGATACAAATGGTCCATAGCTCCGCAAGTAAAGCAGAAACATTTCTCTCTTCTTGGATTAGGGCAAGCGGAAGATATGTGTCCCTCCAAATTACAGTTGTAGCATCGGATTGGCCTGGATGCCGTACTAACTAGCGTTTCAGTCTTAGTTTGAGCATTCGTAGTTTTCTTTGTTTCAGACTTTAGATTAATATTTCTAAAAGCTTCTAATAATGATGAAACTGACTCAAATTGTTGCATCCTGGCTTGATCACGTAACCTGGCATCAGGTATTCCTTCCAACAAGTAATCAATAAGTTCTTCTTTTACTATAGGTACCTGATTAGCCATGATAATCTTTTCATGGTAGTAATCACTAAATGTTTCTCCTACTTTCCACGTCCTGTTCTCAAATGCTTTTCTTAATGACAGTCGACTTAAGCGATGATCAAACATATTTTTTAACTCACGTAATAGTTCCTCACAATTCATTTCAATATGTTCAGCTCTTGAGTGGAACCACCGTAGCGCTCGGCCTTTTAACTTTGCCCCAATTAAAATCCGCATTGAATTATCATTTAAGTTATAGGTATTGCGTAACAATCTAATTTGTTTTTCCCATATCGGATAAGTATTATCAGTTCCATCAAATTCATTGAGTAAATCACTTATTATTTTAACAAGCATATTAGGTTGTTCAGAGGCAATTGTTATAGCAGGGGACATGTTTCTAAGAATTTCATTTTCTCGCCGCATTAACTCGAGTTCCTTTTTATCCAGCTTTCTCTCTTTTTGCCATAATTCTTTTCTTACTGAATTTTGAGGCATATTTTGCTCCCACGATCCGGTGCTGAATTCTTCCCCACGTACAGTAGTTTCGTCTTCCTCTTTTTCAATCATTTTTCTCGTTTTTTCTCCTTCGGGATCTTTCGATTGCAATCTAGCAATCATTTCTGCTTTACTTCCGGCGACTGATAAATTGAAGTAGCGCAAAGCCACCTTCAATTGCGCAACAGTGAAATCATTGAAATTCATATTGCCGGTTTATAGGTTAGCGCCGTCTTCTTCAAGTAAAAACGTTCTCTAAAAGATTCGTTATAGTATTTACACAGTTCACCCGAATCCCACTTCTGAATCTGTAAGGATTGGTCCGAGCAACTGAATAAGAAATAAGAAGCACGTAATTAAATCAAAAGAACAAAACTTTAATATAATACGACGTGGTATTACAACACACAAAAGAGGAGAGGAGTTTGCTTCCGCGCACGCGCAGCGTGTCCCGTGTCGAAGCAGCGGCGCCAATACTTGCGTGCGTACACAAACTTAATATTAACATAGATCTATAAACGCAGACAAAAGATATAAACATATATGAAATAAGAACATAAGGTTCTTGTACAATAAACACAAATGTCCCAATAACCACCTCATTTCTAACAGATGTCTTACAATCTATTATAAGTATCGTAAATAATATAAAAAGAGAGGTTCCGTTTCCGGTAGGATAGAGTGAACACGGGGAAAATATGCTCGTGAAGAGGGAAAGGAGGAGAGGAGTGTAAGGAGAGAGGAAGAAAGGAAGAGATGGGTGCAAAAAGGGCGAAATGAGAGGAACAAGGGGGAGCAGAGATACATGGAAGGGCGTAAGGGAAGGACCGCAAAAGGGAAGGAAAGAAGATAGAGAGTTTGGAGGTTAGGTGGAGAACAGGAAAAGAGCACGTGAGAGTCAACGATAAGAAAGCAGGGAGATAGAGCGGACAAAGAACGAATCGGTAAGGAAGATGGAAGGTATGGATAGATAGAGCGGACGGAGAACGGATCGATAAGGAAGACGAAAGGTGTGGGTATAGTAGAGAGAGAGAGACAAGGAGACGTGGACGAAAACTGAGGAGGTCGGTATAGAGGGAGCGGAAGATGCAAGCACATGGCGGATTGTGATCGGAGGTTAGAGGTATTCGGAAGTGTGGTGCATAATAAGAAGGAGATAGGAAAGCGAGTGAGAAGAGCAGAAAAGGATAGGAAGGAAAGAGAAGGAAGGAGATAAAGGTGGAAGAGGAAGTGAGAGGAAAGAAAGAAAGGGAGAAAAGTAAGAAGGCTGGGAAAAGGAAACGGAAGGAAAGAAAAGTAGACGGTGAGCATGGAAAAGTGGTTGAAGGAGCTAGTGGTGGAGGTAAGGGGAATAAGGAAAGAGTTGAAATTGTGGAGAGAAGAGAGAGCGAGAGAAAGGAGAGAAAGGAGGAGGAAACAACGGTGTCGCAAGAAAAGGAAAGAGAAGAGGAAGGAGAAGAAGGGAGAAAGGAGGCGAAGGATCAGGGAGGCAGAGAGAAGAGGGAGACAGGGAGAGCAAGGGAAATAGTGAAGGAGGAAATTGTAGAGAAAAAGGACGAAAGAAGAGAGGAAACAAAGGAGTTAGGCGGTGAAAAAGGAAGAGAGGTACGGGAAAGGAAGAAGAAAGGTTTAGATGCAGGAGTAGAGAGAAGGGAAAGAAAATACTGGTGGGAGGAGGAAAGCGAAGAGGAAGCGGGAGAGAGAGAAGAGGAAGGAGGGAGTAAGGTAGGAGGAGAGAGAGAGGAGAGAGGAAAGGAGAAGAAGAGGGCGAACAGGTCGGGAGAAGGGAAGAAAAAAGAAGAGGGAAGGAGAGGAGGAAGAAGAGGACAAGGACGAGATATTGGAGAAAGGGAGTGAGATAAGGAGATTGTGGAAGATAGGCGTTGACGAGGACTTAACGATGGAGAAGAGAAGAATGAGATGGAGGATGGTCGAGAAAGCGAAGATGGAAAGAGGGTACGGAAAAAGCGTGGTGGTAGGTAACAGAAGGATCTGGGTAGAGGGGTGAGAACGGATATGGGACGAGAGGAAGAAGAACTGGAGAATGAAGCGAGAGGAATAGAAGAGAAGAAACGGAAAGGGAAAGACGAGGAAGGGGAGGGAGGAATATTTGTAAGGTCGCAAAGGGCCAGGTCGGGTTTAAATAAGGATAGAAAATGTAGAGGAAGGTAGAGGAGTGTAAAGGTTTGGGTACGTTCCTAAAAAACGCCTTCAAACCCCATTGGGGACGAATAAATGATACAATAATATAAAAGTATATACATACAATAATATAAAAAAACTAATTTTATATCATTCCGCGTAATCCGTTTCCGCGTATTCCGCTCCATGGGACATAAGGAAAATAGAAAAAGCGAAAGAAAGAAAACGGAATGGCTGTGGTTGATCGCGCTGATTCCGCGCGTTCCGTTCCGTTATGGATTTCCGCTCAATGGGACGTCGGCCTTAAGGTAACATTTCATGAGCAGTGAAAAGCAGCAGCAGTTTAGAAAATAACTAGAATCGGTGACGTACTTCCGGCGCAAGTTTTTGCTGTTTGAAGTTCATCCTGTTGAACAGCAAAGCAGTAAAAGCTATGTTTAGTTATATATGTACATATATTCTAAAGTATGGAATCACCAGAGGTAAGTTTGTAGGAACTATAATTATAAAAATAATTGTAAGCTAATAATAGATAGATAATAATTAGTAATAATAGATACATAGATAAATAGATATGCAGAAAACCTATTTCATGGGCAGCGCAGCAATTCTGTAAAATCACCAAACAATGCTAGTTAGTTACTAAACTGCTGCTGCTTTTCACTGTCCATGAAATGTTACCTTTATTACTCTTCCTTCATGGTGGCAACAGAGCATGTATATATGTGATTACTAATACAACTAAATATAACACTATATATGTACAAATATTCAAGATGGCGACGAATTGGTCCAAGTCATTCCATTTGGCAAACCTGGCCACATACGGAACATTTTTCGTGACCATTTCCAATCTAGGTAGATAACTTTCCTTACTCTTCCTTCATGGAGTATACCATAGACTATAGACATAGTATATCTAGACCGAGCGTTTGCCTTTATTTAAGGAGTGGGGGTAAAGATACACGTAGAAAAGGACATACTCTGTTTCGTGCCCCTTTGCTACTGAGCGGTTTTCTCTGCTGAACATTACCGAGCAGAAGAGAGAGAAAAAAAGTTATGTTATCAGAGTTCGCGGACACGGAATGCACAGCGTGATTGTCCGTGCTAGAAGAAGCAACTTTTTTCTTTGGCAAAATTGCGTCTGAACACCACTTTTAAATAAGAGCAACTTTAAGCTAACAAATGAGCGCTCTATAGGTTACGCATGAATCAGGGGCGGCGTGCAAACGGCGTGCGTGGCGCGTGAGCGTATATGCTATTTTATTATTTCGCTAAAGATTTTATAAGAATTATGCATGACATCTAAATAAATAATATTTAATAATATCTAAATAAATATCTAAATCGCTATTTTAAATACAACTTACTTAATAAGAGAACACTTTCTAATTGATATCACTACCGAAGCAACGACTAAAAGTAAAATGAATAGATTTGATAACACGTGAATAATTTTGATTCAAGATTATCGATATTTAGATATCATGCATAGTTTTTATAAAATTTTTGGCAAAATAGTAAAATAGCGTGTGTACAACACGCTCACGCGTCATTATTGAACTCTATACATATGGGCCGTGTTCCAAAATTCACTGCCAGTACTGGAAATCTATAATATATGTTATGTGAACTAGATTTGAATGTGAAATAGATTTTCAATACTGGCAGTGAATTTTGGAACACAGCCATAGAAAGCGCCGCGCTACTTAAGATCTTAGAACATATATAAATGGAAGGGGAATGCCTTTGTTTCCCGATAGAAAAACATGTCGGAAGGAAGTAAGAAAGAAAATCATAGTTGCCTCTCTCTTGTGAGTTACTTTGCTCAAAAGTGCGCATGTGCGGCCATGTGTGTGTACACAAAAGTATGTATACTACAGACACGATGCTTTTATGTGTAGTTACTTACAAGAGAGAGGCAACTACGATTTCTTTCTCACTTTCTTCGACACTTTTCAGCCTGCTATTCCCCTTCCATTTATATATGTTCTAAGGTATACTCATGTCGCCATATTTCGTCGGTATGACAGATTTTGTAACCTAAATAGTCGTCAACTTTAACTATTAATATCTCGCTTCGTGGGGCAGAGCGACACTTTTCTCTGTTATATTCTTTCGTTTTGTTTAAAAACGCGTCGAATGCCCATAATTTTATCGATATTAGAGGTGGGGCCGCTAAACTGAACAATTATCTTGTAAGAATAATTTCGTTTTTGCACATTGCACTTCCTTCGTTTCTTCCTATAGGCAGTAAGGGCCACTTAAATCCGTAAAAGAAGATATGTAAGAAAAGACATGAAAAAAACGGATTATTAGCAAACCTATTTGTCCGCAGGCCATTTCGCGCGGTAAATCCAAAAATTTGCGAAACCGGACGGCGAAACAATTCTATGGAAAATGTCATTTCCGCAATCGCATCGTCAAGAATTGATTGAGCTGGCTCAAACAACGAGAATTTTGACGATACCTGGCGTTCTCGGGTGAGATAATCTTTTCAAAGTATAATTCTTTGACCTCTTCCACGCGATTTTATATTATATATATATATATATATATATATATAGGGGGATATTATTTTATCATAACTTTTTTTATCACCATTGTATTGAAATTGCTAGTGTTATAAGTTTTTTAATATATATAAGAGGATATTTTATTACACAAAACTTTTTTCAGCATCATATTGGAATTGTTGGAGTTACAAGTGTCTCCAGAAGATATTTACATTCTTCTTAAACAAATTGCGACAAGAACATCAAGCCGACAGACAATAAACGAGGGTGCGCACGTTTCCACCAAAAAATAGCATTTTGTATATTAGAAAGTTGCTAACTTTAGCAATAAATATCTTTGATTACGGTGTCAGAAGAAAGAATCTATTTATATAGTATACAGATGTTAACAATCTATAGTGTAAAAGATTTATAATTGCAATTAAACAAATATTTGTGTCTAATTAAGTATCCATCTTCACTCGGCAAGAAATGATATTGCATACATTAACTCTAACAATCATAGCAATGAATATCTTTAATTATAGAATCAGAATTATAAGGAATTTATTTATACATAAAGATATGATATAGCATCTCTACATATAATCTATAATATAAACAATTTTTTTGCATATTTGATAAAATTCTTTATTAAGAGTTTATTTCCAATCAGAATAAGTACTTCATATATTTGATTATTAATTTCACAAAATAATGTCTAATTACAGTGTTCAATATGTATACAAAAGTAAAATATAATCTAAGAATAATTTCACTCTCTCTTATAAGATATATTAATTCAAAAATTATAGGATAATGTTCTTTATATTATTATTAAATATTGGTCTTCATTCAATTTTATTTGTACAGCAAGCAGCCCTTTCTCGCCAGCTTGTCTGCCATTTCATTACCATGAATCCCTACATGCCCATTCACATGATTCTAGAAAATTATTCGCTTAAATTGTATTGCACAATATTTCAACTATATTGATTAATTGAACGTTTATTTTATATATAGATTATTAAATTTTATTCTTAATAAAAATTAAAATTAAGTAATTGATTGCTTACCCAAGCAATGGTCAGCGATTTCAATTCTTTTTCCATTTCCAACAATTCCGTTTTATTTATAACTGGCTTGTTATCCACTGTCCTCCATCCTCTCTTCTTCCAACCTGGCATCCATTGCATGATGCAGGAAATGAGGAATTTCGAATCAGTATTTATCTTGAGCTTTTTTATTCCTGCTTTCTTAGCTTGCCTTGCAGCTACTGTGACAGCTTGGATTTCTGCCATGTTGTTAGTTGGTCGTCCCTCCACTGGTCGAGATACATTCCTGTGGAATATTATAGCTTTTCCCTAAACAATCTATTAAATATCAAAAAAGGTGAAGGATAAGACTGAGAAATAAATTGTACAATGGATGATTGTCTTGAAACCAAACGCCGATACCGGCTCGCGCGTTTTTGTATCCGTTGGAACTGCATGCGCCATCAGTGAAGACATTAACATAGCCATCTTCATCCATAATAAAATCCACTTTGCCATCCTGTGCTCTTCATTCAATTTTATTTGTACAGCAAGCAGCCCTTTCTCGCCAGCTTGTCTGCCATTTCATTACCATGAATCCCTACATGCCCATTCACATGATTCTAGAAAATTATTCGCTTAAATTGTATTGCACAATATTTCAACTATATTGATTAATTGAACGTTTATTTTATATATAGATTATTAAATTTTATTCTTAATAAAAATTAAAATTAAGTAATTGATTGCTTACCCAAGCAATGGTCAGCGATTTCAATTCTTTTTCCATTTCCAACAATTCCGTTTTATTTATAACTGGCTTGTTATCCACTGTCCTCCATCCTCTCTTCTTCCAACCTGGCATCCATTGCATGATGCAGGAAATGAGGAATTTCGAATCAGTATTTATCTTGAGCTTTTTTATTCCTGCTTTCTTAGCTTGCCTTGCAGCTACTGTGACAGCTTGGATTTCTGCCATGTTGTTAGTTGGTCGTCCCTCCACTGGTCGAGATACATTCCTGTGGAATATTATAGCTTTTCCCTAAACAATCTATTAAATATCAAAAAAGGTGAAGGATAAGACTGAGAAATAAATTGTACAATGGATGATTGTCTTGAAACCAAACGCCGATACCGGCTCGCGCGTTTTTGTATCCGTTGGAACTGCATGCGCCATCAGTGAAGACATTAACATAGCCATCTTCATCCATAATAAAATCCACTTTGCCATCCTGTGTAATCCCAAAAATGCAAGATATATGAATTTCTCATAATACAATTTATTCGTAAATTTTAATATATTTTATATCTTTTAAGATGTGCCGTTTGCTTCAAACCTGATCAGAAAGTTGAGTTAAAGTAAAGTCTGTATTATCTGATATAATTTTTCTTTTTTTACTTGGTTGTTCATTAGTATTGCTATTTGTTAATAAAGTCCTTTTTGAAAGTGATGATAATAATTTTGTCTGAGCCACTGCAGTTTGTTTGCTTCCAAGCAGAAACACTTGTTTTGGTAGAACTTGCGATCTACAGATAAAATATATATATACATAAACAATATTGTTTGGTATACAATATAAGGTTTATTAGTTTTGTGATATTTCTTTCGTATTTTCCGATATAAACAATTATTACTAATATTTACTCTACAGGTTTAACCATTTTCAATGAGACAAAATTTTTGGTCAAATTTGTTCCTACGTTTGAAGAGGAACGTCCTTTTATAAAATTTTGAGCCTCACTTTCTGTAGCAAATTTTTTATACATGGATCCAGGAAATTTAAGAACCTGAGTACTGCATTCATCCCTTTTGAAAATAGAAAGTTTTGTGTTTAATTAACTTTCACCAATAATTTATCTTTGAATTATATAGTTTCATTACCATGTGCCATAAATTCCAGGTTTTCGACCTTTTGCAACTGCATAGTAAGGCATTCTACTAAAGAAAAATTGCCTTGCTACAAATATGAAATGCAATATCATCAATAAATTTACTCAATGTAGATGACCTTTCTTCTAAAGAGACATACACCTTTATTAATTAATATGTAACAATTTCAATTCCATTATTAATATTAACATTCATGCATTACCTCGAGAATTTCCTGATAAAAAAATTCAAAAATCTTTTAATAGAAGATCTATTACAGCTCTATAATTTTTATATGCATTATAAATGTATCATCCACAATTTTGAGAATGAAACAGAAATACATAATGTATTTTTACTAAAGTTTCACATGAGAAATAAATGTATCCCGTAAAAAATAAATAATAAAAATGAATAATTACATAATAAATATTTGAAATAATTATTATATAATAATAATAAAAAATAAATAATTACATAATAAAAATATACACATCTCTCAAATTTTATGATGCATTTATTTCTGTAATTATATTATTTTCCACACTAGAGTTTACAGATGTGACAATATCATTGTGCATGCATAATTTGAAAATAAAATTACATACGAAATTACTGATGAGATTATATTATGAAATTCTATAATTTAATACGCAAAATGTTTTGTTTATCAAAACATTTGCTTCTGTTTCATCTCGATTACGTACAAATTTATATTCTAGCAACCACCGACATATAGCATTGGCACAGCATATACAGTAGTGCAACTCCCTGTCGATACATGACGTAAGGCCGATATTACATTTGTCGTACGACAAACTTTTTAAGCATATTGATTGGCTGCAAAATAGAAACTTTCTTGAGTCTCTAGAAATTATCCAATCAATGCGCTTAAAAAGTTTGTCATACGACAAATGTAATATCGGCTTAAGGGCCAATTTCACCAAGTCCGGTTAGATCAGAGAGAAGAATGAGAGTCGCCACGCTGCCGTTTTTCGTGTAACGCTTTTTCTAGGTCGTACACTAGCGTCACGTACATCCATTTTACGCCGCCTGGAACTACATGGCCACATCCACTTTCGGAGCCGATAAAACAGCCGATTGGTTCATGTCCATGCTACATCCACTTTTCGATTTTGGTTCAAATCCGTGCTACATCCACTTTTCGATGCTGGTAGTACACTGATCGTTTGACAAAGAGAGATGATGCGCTCTCTTTGTCTCTCTTTCATCGCGTATGTGTGTAGCGTCCGTGAAGGCACACACCGACACGTTGAGCACACGGATGCGATTGTTGGGAGATAATGTCAGACAAGGAGCGACAATCGCGTGCTATCCTTGTTCCTCTAGCGTATCGCTTACGGCCGAAATACGGCCTGAAAATGCTTTCTGGCCTCTCGTGACAGCAGTAATGCAACAAGGCTAATAAGCACCCACTTTTTGAGAATTTTATACTTGCGTATATATGTGGATATATATATATGTTTAAATTATAGTTGAAATTGTACCTGCAATTAAATATTATATGATGATTAATAATAATAGTAAGATAATAGATAATAGAGTGAACAAATACAAAATATGTAAGACACGGGTGCCTTGACGATACACGTTAGACTTGATAAAATAAATATCCTTTATTTGATCCCCAAGGGGGTTACAAAGGCGCTTTTCAA